ACTCCCATGTCAGCGTTCGACAAGTGTATATATATATATATAGTAATATCATGTAATATCATATAATCCCATTGAAAGGTCGCCTTGAAAATGTGTTAAAAAGAGGTTGGAGAATGGCACTGGAAAATGCAGTGAGGAAAAATGGGCCAAGACATGCAAAAAAGAATGCAGTGCAAATTGTGCAAAGTAAAAGATGAGGAATCTGGAGAGAACAGCTGTCAGGTAGCGATACTGTTATGGTAAAACCGCTGCTGTTTGCATCGAAGCCATCTACCAATTTAGCGCATGAGACCACAGAAATATGAGCACATGACATGACTTCTCTCCTGTTGCATCTGTGAGAAAAGCGCCAGTGCTGCTTGCCATTGCTGTCCTTTCTCACAAGCGCTCGTGAGAGAATTGTAGCTGATTACCTCAGTGCAAGACCAGCTGTGAGGCACCTGCGTGCTGCTTCACAAAACGGTCCTTTCAAAAAAATCCAATGTGGAAGAAACTGAATATGCATGTGTATATATATTATATATTCATGTACAGTAAGCTTGATTTTTTGTGATTTTGCTTGTTCCTGGTTTACAACTGGTTTTCTTCAGGCAAGGCACATCCAGCCGTATGCCCTGGTGGAAGGCAGCCTGGATGGCCTGTTGCCATTGGAAGCGTTTCTCGTAGCCAGCAAGGAGACCCTGATCAACTTCCGTTGGTTCGGACTGAAAGAAACAGCTACAGAAACATGTCATGTTCGAGTACGAAAAGCGAAACCGGGAAAAACACAATGAATCCAGCAAATAAAAAAAACGAATCTTCGAAGAAACTTGAAGCTAAGGCTCATTGAGGCTTATGGTATCTGGTTGAAGACAGTGCTTCTTCATGCGGTCGATGAAGTTTCTGATGCAATCCAACTTGGAGCTTCCTCGCAGCTGACGCAGCTGGAGCAAAAGACGATGCGTTTGAGGAACTCCCCTACCCATCAACACAGCGTTGGTGCAGGTAGGCAAGCACCAAAGGTTGAAAAAGGCGCTTGACTCTTGAAGTTTACACATTTGCCAACAACGAAGCGATGATGCTGATGCAAAGGAATCTAAGCAGCCCTACTGCCAGGAGTTTCTAGTGATGCTCCCAGTATTGTGGCCATCAACCAACCCCTAACCAACCAAGAACCAACACGGCACAAATGCCCGCCCGCAACAGCTATACGGTAACACTCTTCGTCATGTGTATTTCTGGAAGAAGCACGTCTAAAACGTTGATAGCGTTAATACGTATGAGAAGAACAGAACATGAGTGCTGAATCAGCTCGGCATGCCGGTCTCTTGGAGATTTGGTGTGTCATTGGTCGCACATGCAAAACAAGCTTCGCGCATGTGAGTGAATCAAAGCATTGAAGGTGACAGTTGATGGCTCCAGCCGTCTTGAGCACATCACCTGAAAGATCTGCCTGGATAGCGCAATGTCGATTCGATTTGAAATCTGCTGAAATCCAGCTTGAGACAGTGTCGACACAAACCTACTTACCAAAGAACACAAAACCTTCTGACCACAAAAGCATATCGCCTCCAGCAAATGCAAAATGCCTGTGCGAAAACCCATCGACTTGAGACAAATGTGTCTATCACAAAGTCAAGGTTCAGGGCTTTGCTGCTTTGCTGGTCCGAAGCGCATGCGCTGATGGTTGCCTCTTGTGGGAGCGGGCAACTAGCCAAGGTCTAATGGCAGAATGGCAAGCAGGTGAGATGTGCTTGGTTGCCGTCCCTACCTATTGTATGCGCGACAATTAGCATCAATTGGCATGACAAGGGTCAGTGATACTTAGATTAATAAAACACATATCAGTAGTCTCGTTCTGACTTGAGCTCTGCCCAGTAACATTGTAAGATACCACCGAAGGAGATTCCAGCATATCAAGCAGCAGTAGACAAAGTGGCCACTGGGAGCCTCTCCTGAACCATCAAAAGCTGAAGCAACCAAGCAAGACCCGTGTCGTCAGATTGCAAAGCCGAATTTGCTTTAGATAGCTTTGTGTTTGTTGTTTGGTACATGACAAAGCATGTCAATATTCTTGAATGCACGCAGGACGAGAGAGAACAAGGCTCTCACAGGCGGTGATCAAGGAGTTATAGACGATGGTGTTTGGAGCAATAGAGTCATCCTGCCACATCTAGCAATCCAGCACACCGGTCAATCAACCAATCAAACCTGATCAATAAAGTCAAACTATTCAAAATTATTGACCTTCCAACCTCGGCTTATTGAACAAGGTCTCATTTCCCATCAAGGCACTATCTACCACTATGACTTTTGGTTTGAAAATCATTGAAAATCAAGCAAATCCTACGGGCCGATTTTGCGACATGAGCAAGTACTCAATCAGCTCCTTCGCTTTGAGAAGCATCTGCAACGCTAGCTGCCAGTCGCGGCAAGCTGCAAGAGCTGCACCAAGGGTAACAACACCTCAAGTCGACCGTGTTTGAGAACACCCAGCGGGCCCCCGGCGGGCTAGCTCAAAGCAAAATGACAGAGTGACCACCTTTCGTGCTATAGAAACTTAGCAGATCTTAGCAGTCAAACAAATAGATCTGGTCTCTGAGGATCTTCTGCCCCTAATCCAGAAAATGAACTATATATATAATACATAATCATAATACATAATAATACTAAATAGTGGGCTTGCAGCAGTTCGATCGATTCTTGAACTCTGCCTCATCAATTGAATCCTGCCCAATGGCCGAAGCTGTGCTTCCACGGCGCTTCGCTGAACCCAGTTCTTCTCCATCTCTGTGAGCAATTGCAACGCCAAGGTCCAGTACTTGCGCAAGGCCTCCTGAGGGCTCTGCACTTTCCCTTGAAAAAGGGCTTTGCGTCCGGAGAGTCCCTGGGTGTCTACACAGTGACGTTCAATGCAGAAGCACGCAATTTGAGGAAAGAGGATGAAAAAGGGCTCTTGAGGGTTTGGTTCCCTTAGAGTCTCTTGCTTCTTTGGAATCTGAAGATCTCTGCTGGGACGTCGTCAAGTTTGCCGACTTGACTTACTTGCACCCTGTGGCGGTCTGCCCCGCGCTCCAGCACTGTGTTGTAGCTTTGTGTGTCGGCCAGGCGCAAGGCCTGGCATGAGCTCAAATGGTCTGCACTTCATCATCCTGATCTCACTGGTGTTGACTTTTGTCTTTGCACTTTCTGAAGTCGACTGTAAAGGTTTGTTCCAGCCAGTCGATGCTGGTACAGGCTTGTACATGACCTTTCCATCAAAGAACAAGTCCAATCAAGCTGGCGCTACCATGCAATTCTGCAGCAGCTTGAGAGCCTGCGACGCCGAAGGCTCTGGTTTTTTATTGGGGATCCAAAAGAAAATGCTGACACTCAACATCTGAGGGTTCAAACGAGGTCAAACAATCCGTACCTGTATCTCCACGTAACCTGAACTGCTAGCGGATTCAAGCGAGCTGTGTAAGCAAAGATTGCACAATTCAACATCCAAAGGTGGATTCTGTCGGACGACAACCCCGTTTGGAACAAAAATGCATGTTGGTGTCTTGGTCCTACAGGCAGGGTCGTGACGGACAAAAACCTCAAGTGCGATATGTGTACAGCCAAGAAGATTGGCTGCTATAACTCAGCAGATGTCTGGATCGAATCTTCATGGTTTTGGCGTTGTCAAGTCCGATCCTTCTTCTTTGCTTCAAAAAAAACTCTATGACAAGACAGGTTGAGATGGTGGAGATTGAAGTACATAATCAAATCCTGCCTCGTTCCAGCGACGGGCCTTCGCACACACGTTAAGAGTTGCCTGAGCTGAAAATGAATTCTCCGCGAAACCAAGAGGAACAAAATGAAGTGCGATCGACGGCCCCTCTTTGCTTCATGCTGCATTGTAGGTAATGAGGTTCGGTGTTGGGCCATGCTGGTGCAACTGCTGCAAGATGGAGATTGCCTCTGACCACTTTGCGGAACGGCCAAGCTGTCCTGAGGCGTTGATACTTGCACATATAACAAAATGCTTGTGCGATTGATTGTTGGCTGCCACATAGTGCAGGTACGCAGTGTTCGGTGTGGATCCTGTGCCTGGCACTTCAACTACTAGACAAGACGAAGGCGCCAGTTCAATCTGCCATCCTAGATGTTCTTCGATCAAAATACCAAGATACTCTGTGGGGCCTATTGTTTCAAACTGTACCAACAAAAGCAACAACAAAAAATCGGCGAGTCACCGAGTCTGTCTATTTTCTTGGCTCCATGGACTCCAAATCCAAGCCACGCAGGGCAGCGGTGCACTTGCGCAAGGCCATAGAGAAGCCATGCCTGTTCAAGTCTCAACTCACAAAAAAGAAAGCGATCACTCACGGTTCCATCGACCAGTTCAGCAAAGTTAAACAGAAATTGAGTCTTCGATTTGTTTCAATCTGTCCCTTGGTTGGCTTGCGTGACAGGCATCGTGGATCCTTTGGTTGCACTTGCTGGCTGCTGAGCCAACTTGACGTTCCAAGAGCACAATCGGTTGAATAGTATGCCACTGCGGGATCAATGAATCAACCAAATTTTAAGTAATTAGATGTACAAGAGTGGCAATCTTCAAACGCTTCACCATTGTGGCCGATGCCCGGCCCGCCTGATGGGTGCCAAAGCAGATGTTCAACCATAGCGAGTGGAGCGTGAGACTATTGCTATGGCATTTCTATCGCCTCTTGACTTGCATCTTTTGTATCTATATACTCATGTTCTGAGACTTTATGCTCAAGGAAGCCCTTTTTGGAAGTGTACTGCAAAACCAGCGAACCAAAGAACAGCCCGTGGTTCTTGACTCCTGCCGAATTAGGCATACGTCCATCTGAACTTGTTCCCTATTGTCGGCAGCAACAAGCAAACGATCAGGAAAAGTTGCAAGATTAGCAACAAGCATTAGCAACAAAACAACGAGATTCAGCGAAAAGTTGCAAGGTCCGGTTTGGGGGCTCCTGGCCGTACTACTAGGAACAAGGACGCTACTAGGGGAACTGCACGTCGGAAGTCTCCTGGCGCACAACCATGCTGGTCTCATCCGTGACCTTAGGCAATATACATCTCTCCAGCACCTAGAACCTTGTTCCACATTGGCTTTGTTGGTCATGACCCACCTAGATCTAGTACTTAAGGAATTAAATCAAGTGACTGGCAGCCCTCAACCTTCTGTGCTCAACAGTGGTGCTTTGCCAGACAGCTGACAAACATCTAGGCTGCCATACAAGCTACAATGTCACACGGATACTGAAGTTGAACATGAGACAATTGAAGAAAAACACAACAACTAGACCTTCCGCCATGATGCTCTGGACTGAGCTGGCTACAAAGGTCCTCGCCATGATTTCTCCATTAACAATTGTTAAGACCTGCACGGCCAAAGGCAGGAATGAAAGGGTATCATGAGGGAGGAGTGAAATGGTATGGGTCAAAGTGAGGTTGACTCAGGGAACCATCAAGGATTCCTCCTAAAGTATTATAGGTAGCTCCGGCAACATGGGCAACACCCCTGGTGTGACGCCAAGGGAAGGAAGTTGTGGCAGCAAGCATTGCAATACAAGTTGTTTAGCCTGGTGTTTCTGCCGACTTTCCAGCCTCCTCACCCTTTACTGCTGGCCGCGCAAGCCTCTTGCCTACGTGTTTGGATCCTTTAAAGGACCCTGAACTGAAACAGGGTCAAGGTTGCGACGCTTTGTTACGCGACGCTGGCTTGTAAACATCTTTAGAGACCACCCAGCTGTGAATGCATCAAATGAGGAACTTTGATTAAGGTGACTGTTCAACCCAAATGCTAACAGGATTCTTTGAATCAATGCACTTTTCATCAAAGGTTCGTGCCTTTTCGTTCTAGCACACGTCCTTTCTGCCTGGCATACTAGCTCAGAGGAATGGACTGACAGGAGTACAAGCTAATGAAAGAAGTTGTTGTGACTGTCCGACAGCCTGTCTCCAATCATTCCTCCACGGGGTTTAATCAAGAAGATTCGTGCCAAACCTGGTCTTACAAGCATCTCCTGTGATGTTGTGCTACAAAGCAGAACTCATGCGCAAAAATAGAATGCTAAATGAGTGAAAATATCATTCTGCCCATTGGTGTCGGCTCATTTCGGTTTCGCTTCGCAGCGGGAAGTTGTAGCTCTCGCAGCTGAGATGCCCACGATTGAGGTGAACTCAGACGTGAGGCAAAAGGCAAATCAGCATGGCACTCAAAAGGATTCACAAAAGAATAGAGTATTAGAGCTGGGGCCTCCATGTTAACATGAAACAACATGATGTCCATGTTCATTAGACAATATTGTTGGGGTTATTTCTTGTTGCATCAGCAATGCAAGCTTTGCAGTGCATGATGGCGCTGCTGCTCCTCAGCACCAGCAACGAGACATGTGCCCGTTTCGAAAGCCAGTAAAGTCTTCCAGTCTTGCCAAGCACATTTGGCAGTCCAACTGATTGGTATGCCAAGCTTTGCTGAGAGAGTTGTGCTATTCTCCTCAGGCCCCATGTGTGGGAATACTTGATACGAATCCCTTTATGGCACATTGGGATGGCCCTCTGAGGCCGTTGAAAGTCATGAGTTTTGCACTAGTGTGAAAAAGAGCTCATGCTTTGTTGATAGCGAGGCAAGATTGAAAAATCCTTGCAGTTTTCCCAAGCATCCATCCTGTTCGAAGCTAGACTGACTCGATGGGTGCCGATACACAAATTGCAAAACAACAAATGACATCAATGGCCCAAAGCTTGGAAGACCTTCAGAGAGGATGCTTGGCTGTTCCTTCATTCCATGTCCGATACATTTCCTTTGGCTGTACAAAGGAAAGCTGATCTTTTGCCAATTCATTCAGGCAAGATCTGAACTAACGCGAATTCGAACATCTTCATACGCTGACAAAGATGCCCAAAAAGCTGAGGATCATTTTGGATCTTGCAAATATTCCTTTGGAAAGCCCCCCGGGCCTTCAGACAAGTCTGGTGATTGGAGACTTCAACAAAATTCACAAAAAGATTGGAATTGCCTCTGAAGGCCTGAGCACAGGTGCGCAGCCTCAGGACCTCGACAATTGCCTGAGACCGCCGCTGGACTCAATGTTTTGGCGAAAACGCTGTTGGATCTATTGGCCAACAATGATCGACCTCATATGAGTTGAGTTGTGTTGTGATTCTTGAGGGAATGTCTGAGGGACCTCGAACTAAGTTGAGTTCTGAATGAAACCACATCGCTCATGTCTGATTAACGTTTTCAGTGGAGCTCCGCACAGACATCCATTGGAGGTGCTAATTTGCCGCTCGAGTTTTTAAATTTGTTGGTGCCTTGTAAATGGAGGAAAAGAATTGGGTGCAATTCTTCGGTTTCACCAATCACAGCAACAGCATGGGTTGAATAGGCCTGTTGAGAAGCTGCTGAAGCTCATTTCCAAAGCGAACAGCGATGTCGGAGAAGAAAAATGCGCCTCCTTCGGGAATGCGAGCGGCAAAGTGAGAAATACAGCCAACTGGAGGGAATCCTCAACAGAATTAACGGGAGTCCAGATCATACATTCCACGGTTGGGCTGGTCCTTAGGTCCTTTGTTCTTCTCCACATTGGATGTGAGGCAGCCACACAAGGCTACACAAGCAAAGTGCCTCAACCAACACACCTTTGGTTGTGCAGGGTCTTGCATGCCTGTGTGGCAGACTTCGAGGAGACAAACAGCATCCAACAAGGGCCTCAAATGTGATTCTTCTGGTCAGTACTGGGAATGCTCTGTCCAGATGCCAGTGCATATGTTGGCACCTCAACATGCAGATCCGCCCGCACGTGTCACATCAACCTAGAAATGTGGGTCATAGTAACGTTTCAATGCCTCAAGACACGAGGAGTTCAAACGAGTTCTTGAAAGGGCTTTCGGGAGGATTCAGTTAGCCGGCTTTGCGCCGCCGTGACGATCAGGTGGTCCTTTTGAGATGTTGAGTTCCACGTTGTCCAGCGAGAAGCTAGAGTTTGAACCTCGGAAGACCGGGGGGGTAGGCCGGAGGTAGAGGAGGTAGGTAGTAGTTAGAGGAGGTAGCTAGTAGCTAGCTCAGTGTGCCCTCCCCTGGGGACACAGTGCCATGGATACTAAGGTGATGCAGAATCCTGCGAGGGTCACGGCCGTACGGAGCATGATAGACTGGGCCACGGTAGGCTTGCCATCCACCCTTGCTGGAACTGTGGGTGCCAAGTTGATGGCCATTGCCAATGCGGGTGTGCCCCAAGCTGACGACATGGAGTGGGTCCTCTTTGGAGAAGTTGTGGGCTCTTGTGCTGGACCTCCCTTCACTGCCCACCTTCGACGGCTTCCGCTGCTGGTGAATGACCCTGAGAGTCAGAAAGGAAGTTGGGACACTTGGGACCTAGTTTGCCCGGTTACCCATGACCGTGTTGACTTCACCGTAGGCATGCAGATCGGCATTTTGACCAAGCCTTTCGACCGCCAAGCTTTGGGGAAGATTGTTGCTAGTGAATGTGTTCCGGTTTGGAACCTGTCGTCTTTCCACCAAGACTTTCCGTGGAATGTCTCACACCTTTTCTCAGGCGCTTATGAGGGATGGCTCCGAGCCATGTGGTGGTTGCAGCAGGCCAACCTTGGCCATTCGTTCGCTACCCACACGTCAGTTGACTGCAGTGCCCTCAAGTGATGAAGTCATGGAGCTACAACCATGGCCATCAGCACCTTCGAGCTCCGATTGAGGCTTCCTTTGATTCGAAGGAGGTCTTCACTGGGATCTTGGCAGATATTGGTGAACCCTCCATTGTCCGGGCTACGTCCAACAAGACCAACCATGGCCATTCAGAAAAGACATTACGGCTTCTAAATCTTCTCAAAAATTTTTGCGCGTGATCAACAGGCGGTTGAACTGGAATGATCAAACACACATGCATGATCTTCCTAGTGCCTTGGTTGAGGAGCTCATCCTGCGCTCCCCTCAGGAGGGTGTTTATGGTGACCGGGCTTTGCTGCCTCCAGCAAAGAGAACTCGGGTTGACAGTGATGCCTCTTTGCAGCAGGTGCTTGCGCAGCGACTCATCCAGCAAGGAGACTACTTGCCCACACTGTGTGCTTCCTACACTGCTCAACACCTCCTACAACGGGAGCACTTGGAGGCCAAGGGAATCTTTGCAACATTGGCGCAGCGGGGAGATCGTTTTTCCTTCATTGACCCCTTTATGTTTGTCTCCCTCTTTGGGGCCACCGACTCGATTGCGTTGCCACAGGGACTCCGAACCGCTTTCCACCAGCTTGGAAATGCAATCTCTCAAATCCATGCCTTGATTGCTCTGCTCTTTGGGTTGGAAAGTATTGGCGTTGAACATACACAAAAACTCAAGCTTGCGCAACAATGTTGGGAAGAGCGGCTTACTTCTGAGACTGCTATTGTTCGATCTTGTGATGACATGTATGTATTACAGCCCTTGGCTGACTTCGTTGGCAAAGCCGGACCTAGCATTGCAACGTGGCAACCATGGCTTGCAGGGCACAAACTTATCCGATTCTGCGATGATGCCTCGCTCATTCCTCTGAATGTTGAAGCTTCAGTGCCTGCAGTTTCCCAAATGCTAGTGAGTCTTGATCTTGACGATCATCTGGCTCCTCGGGTTCAGCTGTGTCAGAATGGACGAACCTTTCCAGTCGATGTCAAATGGCATGACCTCCCTGAGGGCGAGCTCATCATCAAGATTGGACCACTGCCGCTGGGAACCCTGAAGGTTGTCACCACTACCTCCCACTGTGATGAAGCAGATCCAATTGTCTCTCCGACGCAGCCATGGAATGGTGACGAAGTTGATCCGGAATTTGATCAACTGCAGGATGCCCACCGAGCGGGATTCTTTCATGCTGCTGAACACCTGTGCCAAGATGAGCTTTCGCGCCGTTCTGGTAAAGTTCTTCTTCTCTATCAAGATGGCTTGTTTGATTGGATATCCAGTGCGAACTTGGATCGGCTAGGGAGCATTCCGGACTTTCATCACCAAGGAAACCGCACACACTTCTTCAAGGTCAATCATGATGCATGCCGACACCTCTTGGGTGTCCCGGCAGTCATGGCCATACAGGGAAGCTATGACCCGACTGGGTCTGACAAGTGGATTCTGCCTGCAGGGGGACAAGACCTCCGACGGTGCAAAATCTGTCAGGTACCGAGGGTGGCTACACCGCGGCAGTGTGATGAACTGTTGCAGCAACAGTGCCATGTCTCCATGAGAAACATGATTGAATGTCGAGGAGACCAGCCTCTGATGCTTGTCAACGGGGATGTCCTTTGGAGTGATACAAAGGTCCAGAATGTGATGTCCATTGCGTTTGGGGGCATGGATCGACTCTCTGAGCAACCCAGCTGCAATGTCCGCAATGATGAGGTTACCGCAAGACTGCTCCAGTTCAATATGGAACCTGGTGCGATTGGATTGGATGAGATGACCTTCCATTTTGATACTTTGAAGATTCTTATGCCAACCATTTGCTGGTGTCCTCCTGGCGTCTGGGCAAACAATGAAGCACAATTTCGGTTGCCAACTGAGCCGCAAGACCTCCAACGATGTTATCAACACTTTGTGGTTCCGGTCATGGTGCTGTTTGACTGGATCTTCGTGGAGGTGAGATTCTTTGAGGGTCAGTGGAGAGTGCGTTATCACTCCCCCGAGCAACTGACCATACGTCAGACCAATGCTGTCCTTGAACTCGTCAACACTATGGGTATACCAGTGGCACTAAATGCATACAGGTGGATTCGAACAGCTGAAGACAATGACCTGGCCTCATGGCACACCTTGAGGACCTTCTATGCCAGAGCTGGGCCTCCGCTCCTTCCTGAATCACACAGAAGTTCCCAACGGCTCCAGAGGTCTCAGTA